CTGGCTCTACCCCCACCTCTTTGACCTGTCTGTCTCCTCTCCACCTATCTTCTCCTTTATCCATCTTCTATCCACCTCCCCACCTCTCCCTATTTATTTCAGAACCCCCTTCCCCTCCCCCATTTCTGAAGAAGGGTGTAGGCCCGAAACATCAGCTTTCCTGCTCCTCTGATGCTGCTTGGCCTGCTGTGTTCATCCAGCTCTATACCTTGTTATCTCAGATTCTCCAGCATCGGCAGTTCCTATTATCTGAGATTAAATGTACTGCCAAACATTTTAACAAACTAACCAGTCCCAGTTTTAGCCCCAATGTGTGTGTGTGCTTATTATTTAATGATCAGCTACTCTTAATTAATTCTTCATCTTAATCAAGCATATGACCCAATGTTTTGGGGACACTGGTGTCTTTCTTGGTGAAATATTCTAACAGTGTTGATTAACATTGTCAGAGAGTCCGTTTAGTTCATGCCTGCAGAAGAACAACACATTGACTGTAACCCATAGACTTGTGATTCATGAGTTTTGCTTTTGTTCAGCAAAAACATCCCAAGAGAAACAGAAAGTGTTGATATAATTGAAAAGTCTATTAGTTGTTGGCTGTATGGTATGAATGTTCCTTCTCTGGGACTTGAGGTTAACATAATTGATTAATATGAAAACTACATTTTGAAATCTTACCTCATTGAAGACAGCTTCGTATTCACATTTCACTTTCCTAGTCAAGTGCGTATAACCTAAGAACACATGAAGATACACTGTTACTTTCCATGTCAGTAATGACAGGTTTCTACAGTCAAATGAGTTAAGTAATTCTAAGAAGTGATTGTCTATTCTATCCAGTTGAAGTGTGGGAACAGTTCAACAAGAAATTGTCAATGTCCATCTTGTTCATTTTCTATCATCCTGGTAACCATACTACAATAATGGACTTACTAACTCATCACAATTTCTATCTCTATTTTGCTCTACAGGAGGGTTAAGAGTAATGGCTGGGGAGACAGAGACAAGAAAATAGAATTAACGTTGAAATCAAACCAGCCATGGGCATAAGCAAAATAAACTTGCAGAGATATGGAGATACAGCAGGAGAATCAGATTGTTCTGCAGAGTGTCAGCGTGGTCTTGATGGGCTGAATGTCTTCCTTCTATGCTGTAATAACTCTGCAGCTCTAAAATTGTTGCTGTCTAATCAGACTGCTGTCTATCTTTGTATTATCTTATCTACAAGTCTGATTTTATTTCTTATTTTTGTCGGTAATTGATAGTATGAGGTGGAGGTTAGATAGACCTTAGGTTTCGGGTAAAAGTTTGGCACAACATCGTGGGCCAAAGGGCCTGTACTGTGCTCTACTGTTCTATGTTCTATGTTCTAATGCTCATTAAGTCATTACACTATTAGGACCTATTATTTTCTGTTTAATGATGAACTTCAAAAGGATGTGGACAGGTTGGTGAAATGGGTGGAATAGTGTGAGATGAATTTAATGCAGAGAGGTTTGAGTGACTTATTTTGGCAGGAAGGATACAGGTTTACAATATAAAGATGCAATACTACAGAGGCACATGAGCAGAGGGACCTCATGTATAGAGCACAAATCATTGAAGGTTGTAGAATAATTTGAAAAAAGCAGTTAATAAAGTATTCAGCTTTATAAGTAAGAATACAGAGTGCAAAAGCAAGCAAATTATAGTGAACATTTTATAAACTCTGGTCAAAATCAAATGGAATACTTTGTAACAATGAGCTGAATGACCTCCAACTGTACCGTGATAAATCTATCACTCTAATCTATATTTAATTCCAGAATCAACATTTTTACTTGGAAGTGTTACAAATATAAGGTGTTGTAAAATTGTTTTGTTACGATGTTTCCGATATAGGGTAAAATAAAGAGGGTCATGTGACCTGCTTTGCATTCTGCCAACAATGAACCAGGGTGTCTTAGTTGTTAAAGCTTAAAAGGCCCAGGTTGTTTCACTGGGAAGAAGTTGCAAGATGTTGATGTCTATAAACAATGATTAAGGCATCATATTGACTGTTGTTCTTTAAAATAAGAAAAATGTTGGGATGGTTGTGTTTTATATATGTATAAGCATACACTTGTACTTTAAGCTGTCTACTTAGTTCCAAGAACTACTGAAGTTAGGAGTTTAAAGGACATCTAATTTACCCTTCCACCTGGATATAAGGACTAACTGACTCATGTAACCATGCACATTAACTCTGGGAAGGCGGAGGTGAAGTCCATAGAAGACACTGTAGAACTGGTGTTCAGTTTGTCTGATAGTGTCAGTTTGCCAGATCTGAGACAGGAATACAGAGAGAGCAGAGAAAGAGAACAGCAATAGAGACAGCAAGTCTTTTTGTTCATTATCTCTGAATCTGTTAGTAGCTCATGGTCATAATGAAGAAACAACGTTCACAAGGACTTAAATAAGACTGGAACAATCGCCTAGCTTTGGTTAGACACAAGATCAATGAATCTTGATGAATTCAATCATTGTTGGTGAAATGTGAATTCAATTTAACTTAGCAAAGGAATGGTTATGAGATCAATCATCTCAGCTCCAGGACATCCCTGCAGGGGTTCCCTCAGGGTAGTGTCCTAGACTCAACCACCTTCAGCTGCTTCATCAATGACCTTTCATCCATCTTAAGGTCAGAAGTGGGGATGTTCACCGATGATTACACAATATCCAGTACCATTCGTAACTCATCAGATACCGAAGATGTCCAAAATGCAACGAAATCTGGACAATATCCAGGCTTGACCTTACAAATGGAATTTAAAATTTGCGCCACACAAGTGCATGCAAAGATCATCTCCAACAAAAGACGATCTAACTATCACCCCTTGACAATCAATGGTATAACCACAACTAAATCCCAACTATCAACACCCTTGGGTTGCCATTGTCCAGAAACTGAACTGGATGAGTCATAAAACTACCATGGCTACAACAGCAGGACATGTTAGGAATCTTGCAACGAGTAACTCACCACCTGATTTCCTAAAGCCTGCACACTATCTATAAGATGCATATCAGAAGTGTGATGGAATTCTCCCCACTTGCCTGATGTGTGCAGCTCCAATAACACTCTAAAAGCTGGACACCATCAAGGATGCGGAGCCATTCAGTACCCTGCACAATCACTCTGTACCAGTATTGTGCACAATCTACAAGATGTACTGCAGAAATTCACCACGGCATCTCAGACAGCACCTTCCAAATCCATTACTACTACTATCTAGAAGGACAAGGGCAGCAAGCGTATGGGAATACCTGCAACTTTCCTCCAAGCAATTCACCATCCTGACTTAGAAATTTACCTCCGTTCCTTCACTGTCACTGGGTCAAAATCCAGGAATTCCCTCCCTAATGGCATTGTGGGTCAATCTGCAGTACATACACTGCAGCGGTTCAAGAAGGCAGCTCACCACCACCTTCTCAAGGGCAATTAGGGACAGGTAATAAATGCTGGCCCATTCAGTGACACCCAGATCCCGTGAGTGAATTTTTAAAAAGGTGGACATATAACATACAAACATATCAATTACGAACAGGAGTAGGCCATTCAGCCCCTCAAGCCTATTCCTCCACTCAGTCAGATCTGATTGCAACCTCAAATGTGCATTCTTACCAACATTTACATTAATATTTCTTCCTAATGAATACAAGATGAAAAACTTAAACAAAAGCAATGATCAAATAAAGCTGATTGTAGATTTTGTTAATTAGACATGCTGAATATTTAGAATAATCTTTTGGATTAAGATACCCAAAATAAAGACATTAGCTTCACTCAAGATGCAGCTTAGTACTGGAAGAGGAATTTAATGTTTTAGTAATAGCATGGCAGCCTTTGATACATAAGTGACCAATTCCCATTTTATTGTTTTCTCTGGTTTTCCTGTCTGGTTTCTTGTCTTCTTAAGTGTATAATAAAGAGGCAAAGGCAGTAGGAGATATTGTGGCAACTACAGGATAAATATTAGAATAACCATTAATAACTAAAATTGGTTCAGTTGATGACATTTTGTTACAGCATTTGTAATGGAGGGCTACATTAAGTCAATGCTTATTTTCCCATAGATGATTCCAGACCTGCTGTGTATGTTCAGTTTTCTTTTTATTTCAGATTATCAGAATCTGCAGCATTTTGATTTTGATCTGGTTTCCATCCCTGTATCCAGATTATGAATCAATCAATCACATCAGTTTTTTGTTTACATTTTGTGGACTATGGGTGACACTAGGCCAGTATTTGTTGCCTGTCTCTAACTGCCTTGGAGGAGGCAATGGTGAGGAAGCAGTATCTCTTACTGCAGGTAAACCCACAATGCCGTTTGGGAGGGAGCACGAAGATTTGGAGTCCGTTACAGTGAAGGTGGTGAACATATTTTAATTCAGGATGGTGGGTCATGGTGCTCCTGCTATGCATGTGAAATAAACTGCTGAGTGCAGGGCAGGAAAGGCCCCGCAAGGAGTTTCATCCCTGGCACCACAACATGACAGTACGGGAAGGTAAAGTCGCCATAGGGCTGTTTGCTCATTACAGAGAGACGGCTGGCGGTGATGTAACCTGAGCGTAAACACCGAGGGGACACAGACCCGCCGTCCAGCTAACTGAGCTAACCGACCTCCTACTGCAGCACTGTCGACAATCTGATACTTTTTCCTAAACTCCCGAATGGCGCTGAGACTGTCCCCGGTTTCCAGGCTTTCCCAAAGTCTCCCTCGGGAAAGAAGCTTTCGGCGCGGCTCCTTACCTCGGAATGTGATGTGAACCTGGCGGTCATACTTCCCACTCAGGTTAGAAACTTTCTTCAGAAGCAAAGTGAGAGACATGGTGAGCTTTCAACCCACGCTGCTACAATTGTAAACGTTGTTATTTCCCTTTCTGAAAGTGCAAATATCGTCCCATCTTGGTGAAATGCAGACTGCTGCTTGGGTGAATCGTGAGGCAAACACTTATTGCTGGGAGCTGCCTGGTTTCGAGCCTCCTCGCTGCGTAAAACAACTTGCTCAATCAGATTCCAGGTTTATCTGTCAAAACACACACTCAATCCAACAGCTTCACAATGTTTCCGCCCTCCAGCCGCACATGGAGTGCTAACACGATGAATGATCAAAATAGACAGGTAACTTAGTTCATATGCGAAACAAACATACACCAAGAATTTTCAATTTCACATCTTTATACGTCAGTTTTGTATTCAAACTCTTGGATTCTCTGCTTGTATTTTGGTCCTTTCTGGGTGCGGACTTTATTTCCTTATTCCAACCATATCGCGAATGTGGCCAAGCCCATCACTGTAAGCACTTCTTTGTCCTGAATGCCAACTCTGACTCACTAAACTATGAATAAACTTAGTAAAGAATGGTTATCATGTTCGACACGTACTTGCGACATAAATAACAAAGAACTGTCCAGGTGAAGTATTCCTTTACCTCCCATCCTTCTATTAATAACTACCTTTTACCAAAGGAAGGTTATGACAAGATGGGACGTGCTGTAAACTTGCTGTTTTAGAATGCATCAGGTGATGTTCTAATTTTTCACAATTACTTTGACTCTTTCACCACTGACAGGGAGACTAAAACCTAAACTGGCTGATGGCACTGCTGAGGGCCCATGAAGGGAGGTGATGGCCTAGTGGTATTATCACTGACTATTAATCCAGAGACTCAGGTTAGGTACTGGGGGACCGGGTTGAATTTGAATTTAGTAATGATCTAGAGTCTAACAATGACCATTAAACCATTGAACAATTGTCAGGGAAAATCAATCTGGTTCACCAATGTCCTTTAGGGAAGAAAAGTTTGGCCTACATGTCACTCCAGACCCACAGCACTGTGGTTGCCCCTTAGGGCAATTAGGGTGGGCAATAAATTTGACCTAGTCAACAATGCCCACATCTTGTGAATGAACAAAAAAAAATTGCTGCAGTCTCTGCCCTTTCGCAATGGGACCACTCCATGAAAAGTTCCCAGGTGATGCAACCTAGTAACTTTGCTCAGATTCCATTGGTTAATAAAAACAAGAGTGTATAGAATTATTTTTATTTATTCAGGAAATGTGGGTGTCACTGGCTTGACCAGCATTTGTTGCCCATCCTAACTGCCTCAAGAGAATGGTGATGAGCTGCCTTCTTCTGCAGCAGTCCTTGCCACAATCCTGTGAGAGAGGGTGTGCCAGGATTTTCACTCAGCTACACTGAAGGACCAATGATATATTTCTAAGTCAGAATGGTGAGTGGCTTGGAGGAGAATTTGCAAGTGGTGGAGTTCCAAAGTATCTGCTGACCTTGTTCTTCTAGTTGGAAGTGGTCATGTATTTGGAAGGTGCTGTCCAAGGACCCTTGGTGAATTTCTGCAGTGTAACTTGGAGATGGTATCAAGGAATCCTGTTGATAAGTCACTGAAGGCTACTATGTAGGTTCAGCAAGCTATGAGGAAAGCTGATGGAATATTAGCCTTTATTGCAAGAGGATCTGAGTGCAGGAGTAATGCAGTCTCATTTCAATTGTGTAAGAATCTTGGTTAGACCACACCTGGAAGTGTATGTAGTTTTGGGCTCCTGATCTTAGGAAAGATATTATTGCAGAGGAGTGCAACAAAAGTTCTGAAGGTCTATATAATTCTATGACTTTATGACTTGTTTCTGGGATGATGGGACTAAGGAGAAATTGGGTAAACTGGACCTGTTTCCTATAGTTTCAATGAATCGGAGGTGATCTCATTGAAACTTCGAAAATATTTAAAGGAATAGACAGGGTGGATGCAAATGTTTCCACCAGTTGTGAAATCTAGAACCAGGCAACACAGTTTAAATATATGGAGACTTCCATTTAGGGCAGAGATGAGGAGAGTTGTAAACCTTTGGAATTCTCTTCCACAGAGGACTGTGGAGGCTCGGTTTTTGAGTAGGCTTAAGGTAGAGATTGATAGATTTTTGATTACCAGTGGTGTGCAGGGTTAAAGGGATGGGGTGACAAAAGACAGTGAAGAGTTTGATCATCTACGATCATGTTGAATGGTGGGGCAGGCTCAAAAGGCTGAATGGCTCCTGCTCCTATTTCCTTCACAAAAGGTCATTTGTGAACCAGATGGTTTTGTACGGCAATTGGCAATGGGTTTTGAGATCGTCATGAGGATTTTGCTTCCAGACTTTGAAAATTTAAGTGTTACCATCTGCTATGGTAGGATTTGAAGCTGGGTTCAAAATATTACCTGAGTCTCTGGACTGTTAATACAGCAACTGCATCACTACGTCATCACCTCCCCAATTGGAGGTAACCTATTGATATGGGCAGGCAATCACCCTTGAGCATGCAGGACCAATAGATAAAGTGGTCAAGACGGTAAAGCGGTCAAGACGGTAAAGCATAGTTTCCTATTGCTCCTGTACTCTAGGACTTGGCCAAAGAAGGTATGGTGGAACTACATAAAACAGCAAATGTTTTGTGAACAGTTCTATTCAATGACTTAAAGGAAGCTTGTGGTCACATTCACACTACAGAGGTGTACAGAGGAGGTTTTTATGATGTTTCGAGGAACAGCTGAGATGCAAGATTGGATACACAGGGGTTATTTTCTTTAGAACAGAGAACCTGAGAGATTTAACTGAATTCCTCGAAACATCATAAATGGGACTAGTTCAGTTTAGGAAACCTGGTAAGCATGAATGATTTGGGCCAAAGGGCCTGCTTTGGTGCTGTATACTTCTATGACTCTCTGTGACTCCATCAGGGTACTTTCTAGATGGTATGAAGTTAAATACAATGGGTATCCAAAGAGACTTGGGGGGTTCAGGTGCATAGATCTTTAAATGCCAAAAACAGGTGCAGAAAATAATCAAGAAAACTAATGGAAGCTGGCCTTTATATCTCAAGGACTGAAGTATAAGGATGCAGCTACACAAAATCCTGGTTAGATCTCTCAAAGTACTTTGTGCAGATCTGGACACCATAACTTAGGAAGGATACACTGGCCTTAGAGGGGGTACAAGGTAGGTTTACAAGAATGATAACTTAATCCCTGAAGTCCAGATATGAAAAGAGATAGCATAAATTGAGCCTGTTTTCCTGGAATTTAAAAGGTTAAGGGGCGATCTGATCAATGTCTTTAAAATAATAACAGGAAAATATCACGTAGATAAAGATAAACTATTTCCACTGGTTGGAGACTCTAGAACTAGGAAACACAGTCTGAGAATTAGGGCCAGACCATTCAGGAGAGATGTCAGAAACAGTGGTAGGCATTTGGAAATCTCTTCCACAAACAACAGTGGATGCTGGATCAGTTGTTAATTTTAAATCTGAGACAGATAAAGCTCAGCAGGTCTGGCAGCATCTGTGGAGAAAAAAAATCAGAGTTAACATTTTGAGTCCGGTGACCCTTCCTCAGAACCTCAGATAAATTTTTGTTAAGCAAAGATATTAAAGGATATAGGCTAACAGTTGGTACATGGAGTTAAGCCACAGATCAGCTTTGATTTCATTGAATGGTGGAACAGGTTAGAGAGTAGAATGGAAGATAGATTAATTAAAGAATTTGACAGAATAGAGACAAATTAATTTTTCTGGTGGGGGAACCAAAACAAAGCGTGAGTTGGGGCAGTTAGCTGACCCTTAAAATGAAAGGTCAGCCGTTCCAGGATGATGTCAGGAAGTACTTCTTCACACACAGTGGAGAGGAAACCTTTCAACATTAAAACTAAATAACTTTTGTTAGGTCAGGAATAAGAAACAAAGTGAGAAGATGAAGTCACCCATAATCTGATTGAATGGCAGAACATGCCTGAGGACCTGAATAGTCATCTTGTTCCAAAGGCAGAGCCTGGGCTGAAGTGCAGGAGGTAACCACAGAGTCAAACCCACCCTATCCCTGGCTACAAGGAGAGTGAACGCAACTGGAATCCTAACATTCCTTTCACAAACCACACAAACAATATATCATTACAGAGGTGGTGAGGAGGACGAAATCAGTACCAATTATTCTTTACCACCGTTTGCACCACAGTGGTGTTTTAGTGGATATGGCACTGCTGTGTAGTGTTGAGTTACTGACTGTAAATTTAGTCTCACTCTGCTCCTCCATTTGTACCAGAATTGCTGTTAGAAATCAAAGACACAACAGCCCATGCCAAATCACCTGTTCCAAATATTAAAGCACAGAGATTAAAAAGCAAAATTTACAAACTGGTGTCATTTCAATTGTGCCCTCAGCCCTGTTCCCCAAAACCTACTTCCATCTAATGCCCCCATTCTTCCATCAAATCATATTCCCTACTTCTCCAACCATTTCCATCTCCATTCCTTCTTTTACAACTGGTTCACACACCCAGTACTCACACTGAGACAACAAAGGTCTCTAGCCAAGTTGGATTCTCATTAGAACTTGCTTTGCTGTATTGGGAATAGCTGAAGAATATTTAATGCACACACTGAAAACACTTTGCCCACACACACATATTCAGACACATAGGCAGCCAGTATCTTGCAATTTTCTACCCTCAAGTATTTATCCAATTCCTTTTTGATGTTTAATATTGCATTTGCTTCAATTTCACAATGCAGCAGTCAAGAAATTGCTCTGGAAACTAATGGTAAAGTTCCACGTTTGCTATAATCAGGGGTTATTTTAGCCAACTTGGAGACAGTGAGGACTGCAGATGCTGGAAGCTAGAGTCAATAAAAGTGGAGCTGGAAAAAGCACAGCCAGTCAGACAGCATCCAAGGAGCAAGAAAGTCAACGTTTCAGGTCCTGAAGAAGGGTTTCGGCTCAAAACATTTGTTTTCCTGCTCCTCGGATGATGTCTGACTGGCTGTGGTTTTCCAGCTCCACATTTATTGACTGTAAATCTTAGCCAAGCTGCTTCAGTGTCTGCTGATTAACTCAGTTTGTGTGCATGTGCTTGTTTTTATTTGTTCATGGGTTGTCACTGGCAGGGCTAGCATTATTGACCATCCCTAATTCTCTGGAGAAGGTGTCACTGAGCTTCTATCTTGAACTGCTGCAGTCCTTGAGGAAAAGGAATATCCAGTGCTGTTAGGAAAGGAGGCACAAGGCTTTGTCCCAGCAACAACGAAAGAATGTAACATAGCTCCAAGTCAAGATGGTGTGTGACTCGGAGGGGTCTGGCACAAATTCAAAGCAGTGACCACACCTACTGCTTTCCAGCCTGTGGAGTTCTCAGGCTAAGTGATGACTTCAATGTCTTTTTTTCTGGTTAGGTGCTAACTGCAGCAATATCTCTATTCCATGTGACAAACTTTTCAAGCCGCAAGGCCTTCCCATTTTGTTCTTTCCCCCCAAC